CACGGTTATGTCACGGCACGGTTATGTCACGGCACGGTCACGTCACGACACGGTTATGTCACGGCACGGTTTTTGCCGACATGGTCAACGAGTCAATAGTTCGATTGGCCTTTGGCCTCATAGGCCATTGACCCTTAAGGCATTCACGGTTGCAAGGCTAATTATTAATTATTAATTTTCAGCATTTCAGTCCTTTTTCTATACAAGAAAAAATTACAAAGAACTTACAGCGCATGAAGATACAGACCAGCAAATGTTCCGTTACTTAAGGTTTGGATAAGATTATTACTTAGCAATCTAAACAAGATATAAAACAACACAGTATAGTATTCAGCTAGTACACGGTAAGGTAAATATCAAAGTTACGTGAATCACTCGTTCTGACCATTCCTCATAAGACACAACTTTCCGGTTTTGCCCGCTGGTTTATGCTGCACTATACGACAAAAAGGTTTATGTTGCATTATACGACAAAAAGGTTTATGCTGCACTATACGACAAAAAGGTTTATGCTGCACTATACGACAAAAAAGTTGCCTTCGAAATACATTGGACCAATTTCAAACTCTATTAAAATCCATTAATAACTTATTGATTATTTTATGTCCCTAAAAAGCAGGATAATGTTGTCACCCGATAGAAATGAAGGTCTAATCAGTTATTCAGTGTAAATGTAATTACGAAGGCAGCACCTTCTCCTCTGTTACTTTAAAACCCCGAGAATTAGTGCATATGACCCCTTACTCAATGTTTTCAGTTGATCCTACATGAAGTTAAAAGTTAAACAGTAAAATATTATTATATGATTTGAGTGATGCATCTTGGAGATATCAAGGTTTATACTTCCAGTATGCTAATGAGTGTGATGTCATAGTAGGCATTATTAAATATACGAAAATTTACTGGGGTAGTAAAATATACTGCATAAAACATAATTATCTTACTCAGGGTTTATAGAAAGGTTATTGCAAATTTGTTTCCTCATAGTAATCAGTGTTTTGATTTTAAAATGATGACAAATAAACCCAAATGCCAAATGAGTAAGTGGTCATAGGCACTTTAATTCTCGGGGTTTTAAAGTTAGGGGTCATAGGCACTTTAATCTGACCCTAAAGTAAATTGATTGAAAAGAGAACACAAATGAAACAAGTATATGCTTACAAGTTTGTGGTGCTTAGTGGGATGTCCCAAGGGATCGTCGTTAGGTTTGCCTCTTTGCAATTTACTTTGTTTTGAGAAATTCTGCAATCTGTTTCATTGATGGAAACTGAAAAAAAGAAAAACATATCAGAACTGGACAATAAGAACAAAAATTCATGACTAGACATGAGGACCCATTTACGAGACTTCACTGATTAGTATAAAAATCAATAACGAAAAAGTAATAACTAGAAAAGAAAACACTTAAAGCCTGCGCAAACACTTTCTCAATGCATTCTCTGTTGTTCGCTGCACTACTTGTCCCATACCTGCGCGCGGGGAAAGGTCTTGCGAAAGAAGAGAGAGAAAAACCCGAAACGAAACGAAATGAAACGAAAGAAACAAAAATTATGGAATAAAGATACAGCGCGAGCTTTAAAAAATGATTTTAAAAAATAAAATAAAAATGAGTACTTGAAAAAATCCCAGCGCGATACCAATTTCTTTAGAATAAAGTCTAACTAAGTCTTAAAAGGATGAGGAGATATAGTGCAGTAAATTCGATTATAACGTTGTTGAAGCGAACCGACAAGCATTCCTGCCAAACGTTTCTTACTGCCGAAAGGTATGGGAACGTCGCATATGGCACATTATTTCATCGTTACAGCTCTTCATCATTAACATATCGTTATTTTATTTAAGGAATAAACAACGCACACGCATGTCTCTGTACTGTGATATAAACACGCTGGGAAACTGTAGAGCACGAGAGAAGCAAGCTAATGAACACGAGGCGTAGCCGACGCTGATATAAACACGATAGCCAACCAATCGACGCACGCGTTATATCTTAAATATTTTTAACCAACAAATGCATTTGGCCATCTGCGTGAAATGAAGTACCGTACGTGAAGTAAATTTTCAAATATCATAGTCTATTATAAATACAAAAAGCCATGGGCTCTTCCTTGTTCGATACCCTAAAATATACCAAGACATTTTAATACCCTCGAAGATACCAAATCGCTAGTCGTTACCCCTAAGAGATAGGACGAGGATATAGATGCTCTTAACCCGGTTCCCCCCCTTTCCCCCACCCGCTCGCCTTTGGGGGTTTCTTACTTGAAAAGGTTGTAGTACGCTATCAGTCAGTCAAATCATTATCACTCAATGTTACAGCTGTAATAATGATTGTAAGTTGATGCAATAAGTTTGTACTTGGTACTAGTGACTGTATGGCGGATGCGCCGGCAGATATTTAAAGATTACTTCCAATAGCATATGATATTAATATTTCAAAAACCCCAGATGGCATCGTATTTGATGTAAAAATTGTCGTTTTTTAATTCGCACGGTCAGTCATGGGATATCATCTATTGAGTATTATTACTTTCTGTAGCCCTCCTGCTTGAGAGATCACAAATAGTCAAAACTTCCTCTGAAAAAAGTAATAAACTATTTCAAGTTTTTTTTTGTTTTCATTCAATTCGCCCGTCACTTCAAAGACGCCGAAATTCAATACACTGTAGATTAAGCCAATCAGGATATTCAGTCTTTTTTGATTTTTACGTAATTGAACTATCAATAATTAATCATTTTACCTATAACTTATTACAGAAGAGAAGGGGAGAGATAAAAAACTCTAACAAAGTACATGAGTGCTTCCTCGATCTTTTACTTCTTATTTTAAGCAATTGTCTTTCTTTACCTTTGTCTGTAACTTCAGTTTTCGTAACGGTGTAAGCAAAACTAAATTACATTGCATTTGTTAAGATTTAGAAACCATAAAAACAAATGGCAACTGTTCTCGTATTGAAAAAACGATTTTCAATGTCTGATATATATCTAGTTTTAATTAAAAACCTGTGTAATACTGTGTTGTACACAGGCATATTCACTCAATTGTAAAAGAAACTCGTTTCACCTGCGTTAACGTTAAGGCAATTTTTTCAAATGCATAAAGTTTAGATTAGAAAAATAAATCTAAAGACGTCGTTTCAAGTGTTACCAATGATTATAAAAGCCATAAAATAATATCATGGATTATCGCAACTTTTTATCGCTGTTACCTCTCCTATTTTATCAGTATTGCAACATTGCTATTCCACAGCGCAGGTTCCTATTTGCTTATATAGATTTTGAGAAACTCTCAGTATCATTGAAGGTCGCCGTTCTGATTGTTACTTAGCCTAGTTCTATAGTGACCTACAGCCAGTCACAATACAGTTATCAGAGCGCGCGCGCCAACTTTTCTGGTAGCAAAATGTAAGCAAATCCCGGTTTCCATTTCATCTCTTCAGCGCCCTGTTAAGGGTTGTCCAATACACACAAAATGAGACGGATCGTCATGAAGAATTAACGATCCGTCTAAGTTGGGAATCGTATTTACATTTCTTACAACTAAGCCTTCATCGATTCTTTCCAAAAGTTTGAATAGTTATCAGTTTTAGGGAGATTATGAACATATTTACTGTATACCTATACTGTCGCTGCATACTACTCGTTTTGTTTAATAAACGTTTTGTTTTACGAGGGTATTATAGACAAAGCACGCACGCTTGTTTCCTAACCTGGTCCCTCGATTCCTGATCAAAATAAGAGAAATTGGAATTTGATTTTTGTTGAGGGAGGAAAACCGGAGAACCCGGTGAAAAGTAAGCCCTTTAAATATAAAAGGTATCCAACAAGTATTTCTATTCACATAAGCAACAAACCAGATTTTTTTCTAACTCGGGTCGAATTGCTGAGTTAACGCATCAATACTGCGCATTACTGACCTATCACGAAGGGACCATCAACATGAATTGAGAAAAGTGAGTGTGACAATCTTTTATAGCTAGTAAAGGAAGAAAGGATTAAAACTTCGTGTCAAGATAAAGTATTTTCTTTTGGATTCATTTGGTTAAGTTCTAAGTAACTTTGCAATAACAGTGAAGTAGTCACTAACTACCTTTGTTTATAGTCAAACAAAATGAAGTTTTTTTATGCAATATTTGAAACCAAAAAGGAAAGCAAGATTAAGTATATTTTCTAGGATACTTACTTTCAGAGTTGATATTTTCACATATCAAGATTGAAATATTCGTGAGAAATAAAATGAAAAGTACAAAGACTTTTGCATCCATTGTGAGCTGCACACAGACACACTGACCTGATTCATTTGATTTCAAACCAAACTCTAGATTCTCACCTTTTATTATTTAAATTCAACTTAAATAATTAATATTAAAAGCTTTTTTATTAAAAATTTTTCATGCAATTTCATTACGGTTATGTATGTGTCTTAGAACAAGTATTTTAATATTATATTAATTATGTTTGTTATCTTAACTGCAACTTTATTGCTTAGTTACATCAAGGGTGCAGGTGAAATTTGGGGGGGGGGGGCTTCGGAAAATTTTTTACCAGTAGAAGGGAGGGGGGGGGGTTGAAATTTTTTTTCAGAGAGTTGGGGGATGCAAAATTTTTAGAAGCTACGAGAGATTGCCCAGGGGGGATAGTTATTTTTGGGGGGACTTCAAGGGGGGATCTTAAGAATTTTTTTGTCATTTAAAATTTTCACCTGCGCCCCTCTCTGCCATGCATTATGAACGCAGTCTTATTCCCAAACACCTCAACATCAGAACATCCATTACACACAACCAATATATTAAAATGCTGTCCCGTCAGCTTGACTATTTCATATTTATTCTTACAGTTTTTATTTATTTATTTATTATTTTATTATATATTAGGGGGAACGCGTAAAACATCCTTACCTCTAAGTTTTTGCAATAGATTGCAGCTACATACAAAGCTGGGAGACTTTATAGATCGATGGACACAAAACGGACCGAAATTTAATTAAAAATATAATACAAATATTTTCCACCAAACTTTGAAGCCTAAACTACATGTTAACTAAATTGCGTGCGCATAAGATCGACAATGGTCGACATTTGTGACATTTTTAAAAAGTAGATATATGTAGATATATGTAAGGATAAAGTTTGTTTGGCTTAAGGCTATAGAAAAAGAAAAAAGAAAGAAGCAATGATAGTTAGTTGTAGTTACATTAAATTATTCAAAAAATCGAGGGAACCGGTCGCTGAAGAAAGGAAGCTAGAGAGGTTGCCATTTCAGTATTAGGTTAATTTACCTCGTAGGAGACTTAGTGTTCTTTTGTAAATTACCTGCCTCTGGCAAATTTTCAAATCAATCAATCAATCAATCAATCAATAAATGGATGGATGGATGGAGGGAGGGAGGGATGGATGGATGGATGGATGGATGGATGGATGGATGGATGGATGGATGGTAAAATCACTATCGCATCGTCACACGATATCATGTACACTATCATTCACTATAAATGTGCACTCCTTTCTACTCGTTAAGTACCGATCTCAATCGAAAGGCTCTTAATATAAGAGAAAAATTCAGGAACGATTCCCAGAAATTTGCAATGGGGTGTCCGAAATGAAAAAGTGACGACATAGTGACGTCATTAATAATCCCGATCTGACTTATTTAATTTGTTCTTAGCTTTATTTTTAGATTTAATAATATGCAATTTAATCGAGTCGGACTAAATATTCGAGAAACGGAAATTATAAATAAATAGGAGACATATATCTACCAAAAAATTAAGACGGCTTGAGGGGTGTCCGGTGCACCGCAGGATACTACTGCATCCACCCCGAAGATTCGTAGATGAAAATACGGATGTCATCGACTTTTTTAAACTAGATGTCATCGTTTTGTCAAACCTTTTTTGTGTCGCATATAATGTTCGAACGACGTCCACCTGTCCCCAATATTGAAAACCATTTCATTTCATCCCTCATGTGGCTAGCCCCTATGCAATTCTCGTACATCAATACAAAAGAGTGCATATCAAATTTAAGCACTCAGATGATCTATGGCATGTGCTGTATGCCATACATCAATTTCTACATTTAAATGTTCCTTTGCGTCCTACACTGGAGCAGCACGTCAGTATCAATCGAGGAAAGGGGCGAGCACATTAATTATTCACTGGGGTCATCCTGACTATACCTAGTATTGCGACAGTAGAAACTACTCGAAATATTACTATATATTGCTATTATTATTATTGATATTATTATTTATTATTATTATTATTATTATTATTATTAATAAAATCGATCAACACCAAGATATCTAAATTTCTCGTAATTCTTTTATTCATCAAAAGTTTATGCCTTAAGAAACAATTTTCTTCCTATGTTATTCCTATTTCCCCCGTTTGCTTTAAGATTATTTTTATAATTCTCTTTCTTCGTTGGTTTCTTGCTTTCTTTTCTTTTCTTATTGTGAAGTAAAACGCAGCTAGTAGTATTAGAAGATACAAGATAACTGATGAGAAGAGATTTCTCATTTTGTAGCTTCAAAATCTCAAAACATTCTTAGTTTTCAAGACACTGAGCTATACCGATAGAGATTCACTTTGTAGGTCAAAAGATCTTAAGAAAAGCCTTTACAGCTTCCAGATTTGCTGCTAGATCAACCATTCACAAACAAACCAAAACACCATCTCCTAAGCCTATAAACATCAACTTTTGAAGCATAACAACTGGTGGAAAAACACGACCTGATATGTTTTCGTAAATTCAAACTGGTAGAATAGATAGCCGCTACTTTAAGACAGGATCGTATCAACGTGAGCCGATAACGAATACTTTAGTTTCTGTGTTTAGACCCAACAATGTGATATTCTGCTAGGAATCACAGGTAAGATAAAAATATACTGAATCAGTTTTATCAGGCTTTTAGTATTGGTTCAGTTTTTGATGATATTTGTTCATGTTAGTATCAGTAAAAAAGAGTGAAGTTCATTTCTAGTTATAGCATAATCAAGCCTATGTTTAGATGTAAAGAAATATAAAACGTTTTTATATTTGCCCATAAGTTCATATTTAAGGACTGCCACTTATCTGGTTTTGAGCAACTCAGTGATCTCACCGGATTTTCTGAAGTCTTACTTCCGTACAAGGAATTGACATTTTTCAACAGTTTCACAACCTTACATATTATCATAGTCATATTCTTATTAAATTTTCTCGATACTGTGATTAATATTGTGTCAAACAGATTGATCAAACTAAAACCGATTTTCTATTTCCTACAAATGAAAATTATGATATTGGATCCAATCTTATTTGTTTAGATTTGAAAAATGATTATATGAAAAAGAAAAAGAAAATGCATTAAATACTACTTGAGACTATCTTAGAAAGTATTTGTATTTTCCATAAAGAATATTCAATTGACACAAGTAAAAGTGTTAATACTATCATTAATAGAGATACAACTCTTGATCGATTCACTTCTGGTGGTACCGGATGGTCAGTAGCGGCAAACAAAAGGACTACTTTAGAAATTAATGAAATATTAATAAGGCGAAACACAGCACAAAAACCTGAATCAATATAACTTCAACATTGGTAGAAACAATACCAAATCCAAAATCTTTGCAGTGTACAGATAAAAAATGCCATCCTATAATCTTTCTTTAAAAAAGACAAATTATTATTATTATTATTATTATTTTTTTTTTTGTATTAAAATAAACTACGATTGGATTTTTCATCAAATTGTATACAGATTCAATTTTTAATCACATCTCCGCCGGGATTGATTAATCAATCTTATGCGCAGTTGCTCAGTTGTAGAAGTTAGGAAATTGTCTATTAGCTTTCCGGAATATAGTGATGTTGAATTTTCGAGAGAATGAGGCCCCACCCAAACGCATATGAAAAATTTATTTTCTCTTTTTTGGAGGGGGTGGGGGTTTGCCCTTCCATCCACACGTATCCGATGAAGGCGCCACTCGACAACGGATTCGTGTGCACGTGGCATGCGAAAACGATTCGAAAACGCTATGTGTGAATGACGAATGTTTTTTTGAAAATAGTATTTAAAGCAATCCGTTTTCAAAAATGCCGGACGAGACTTGAGAGTTTTCTCCTCGAAAAATAATAGAATAGTATGTTTTAGTCCAAATAACAAAACATCGCATTACTATATAAATGAGAAAAATTTTACCCTTGAATCATTAGATGAAAACTCGAAGTTTTTGATTCATGAATTATTCCCCCTTTACGTACCTTATAGTGACAATTGCATTGACTCGTTTAGCCATCCCGTCGAGTGTCATTGTTGACTGTCATTCTTTTTAACAAAAACGTATATTGACTTAGCTGGCTAGTTTTGTTCCACTTTACAGAAGCTTTGGTAATCATCCCTGAAACGAAAATAAAATAACTGTTATTTTTTAACTAATGATGGATTCTGTGAAACTTTAAATTCGAGACCTTGCCTTTATTTTGTATATATATATATATATATGTTATTTTTTCTTTTATTTTTAAATAACAGAAAAAATACTTTGCATAAAACCTGGAGCCGAAAAACATTTTTTTATTATTATTATTATTATTATTATCATTATTATTATTAATTTATTTCTCATCGATGTTGCACGCGCATAATGACTGCAAATTCAAGCTAAAAGTTGTTTGTATGCATTCATAATTATATAAATTCATGATATTATTCTATAGGTTACGAATTGTTTCAAGAAACAAAAACAAAAAACCAAAAAGACTTATACATGACTTATTATGGTTGCGCAATAAGCAATATTTGTCGGGAAAACGCCTGCACTTTGTCGATATCATCTCACTTAGTGAGTTCGGTGATCATCAAACTTAAATGATGATTTAATTTATTTTACAATGCGAAGTTAAGGAGGGACACGTACATGGGAAACGTATTTGCCCGCAAACGCTCCTAATGATACAGAGTAATTTTCTGTTCTACAGAGTATAAAAAGAACCAATCTTCAAAAAAAGAAAACAACAATGGCAGGGATAAGAAATGTGACAACAATATCATTTCTCATTTTCATCATTTGTATTATTACTATTAATGAAATATGTAAGTATAAAGACATTTAACCCTTAATGCAAACTATTATATACTTTTAAATAGTTATACGTCATTTACTGTATTAACAGAATTAAGAAAATCATATTAACAGTGCATAAAATGTATACATAATAATATGAAATAATATATTTTTGCTTTCAGACGCAAAGCCAATAGTTTCGCCATTTTATAAACCAAAACCTGGACATGGGTATGAAAAAGAACACTACGTGAAAGGTATTCAATAGCATACACCTATTTCAAAAAACTTTCAAAACTTTTCAAAAACTTCCGGTCCGAAATCCGGAAATGGGCGGCGGTCTGAGACTAAACGAAATGTTTGTGCTTTTATGTTTTCTGGCCAAGATAAAAAAAAAAAAAAAGAAAAAAAAAATTACATTTCTTCTTCACATTCCAATATAAAATGAAACTACGTTGTTCTGCTGTGAATGTATTACAAAATTGCAGCGTGCTACTTGGTCTCAAATAATCAGATTTCAGATCGATCTCCAACCGACGTCTTTCGAAAAATGTATACATAACTTCATACAACTAACGGATGGTTGTGCGCACCTCTCAGTTCTAACAAATTATTGATGTTCTAGCGTGCAATAACTATCAGTGTTAAGTTTTAAACCTGCTTGTTTCGTAGATGAGCTTTGTATTTGGTGTTAAAGCTGATCAGAAAGCAGAGTTCGTGAAAGAAGAGGTGACGTCGGGCAGATAATAAACCTTTTATTGTTACGTATTGTTTTACACAGATAATTACTACAAGGACTTTGCTAAAGGGAAGAAAAACCAGATCGCTACCGTAAATAATATGGATACACACAAAACAAAGTTAACGAGAGAAGGTGTGTAATATAATGGTGTGGGCTACCTGTGTTCGAAAGAACCTTTTTTGAGATTTTTTGGAAAAAATTTGTAATTATGTATGTAAGATATATGCTCAAATGTGTTCACCTCAATTTTTCTCTTTTCCCCCCTCTATTGTGTTTAGCTCTTTTAAAGGCAACATCGGCCCAGACCACTGCTCTGGTAGCAGCAGCACAGGCAGCCCGTTCATCTCTTGAAATCTCGAAGCTTGCCAAAAAGGCACAAGAAATCTCTGTGCGTAGAGCTAACTGGGTGTTACAAACAGTGCGCACCGCGGCCAAGGCTGAAGAGGTGGCTGTAAATGCCATAGAATCTCTGTTTATGTGAAAATCACATCCGAAAATAACCAAGTTGTATTAAATTTTATTAAAAAATATAATAAATTAGGGCATACCATGGCGTAAAGTATGCGCAATGTGATTCGAACATTTTAGAAAGGTGAAGTAAAGGCGCGAAGTAGAGACTCTTTAATGCAAATTTGTTGCGCGTGGAATCGCACGTACGAGCAGCAATTCCTCTGCATTTTGCAAGGCAACAATGTTGCGCGATTTTGTTGCTCGTAGTAGCGCACCTTTACTGAGCTTGAAATATATAATATTCATAGTATGTAAATAATGTCAGCATCGTCCAGAGTGCATTTCGGGCTCGGTGTTTAACATACAACAAAACCTTCATCAACCTTTTCTGAAATAGCTGTTTGCGCACTCACGTAGCTTTAACACACAAAATGATGGAATACTTATTTGCATACTGATAAGTCTCGCCCTCTCACTCGACTGACGGAACAGAAAAATCTTAAACGCGACAAACAATCGGGAAAAAAACCCGATAATGGCAAAAGTCACGCTAAGAATTTTATATAATAGGATCATGCCAAAAATTGGGCATACTATTGAAAAGGGGAGGGGGATTATCACAGTAGAAAAAAATGCATTTTGCTATTTTCTCACCCAACCCCCTCTCCCCGAAAAATGGTGAACGGTCCATAGGAGTTACAAGTTACAGTAAGTGCTAGACATAATCTAAAATATAAAGTAAATATCCTCTTCTGCCTTTCCATGTAGCGGTTATCAGTACAAACATATGTCAAACGATAATGGCTTTGATACATAAAATGTATCAATTTTGTCGAATCAGCCGAAGACCGCAGAATTACGATTTTATCTCTCTGTTCCTAAAGTCAATTTCATTTTCAGTTAATGAGGACACGCGGTAGGATCAAAAATATAAAATATCCTGATATTCTCCACTTTAGGTATATTTTCGAGACTCTTGCACAACGGACCGTCGAGTCGGGAAAATATATCATGCGGTCGGATATCAGTCTGTCAAGACGGTATCTGATTCGTAATCGGAGGACCTCACGGCTTGATGTTAGAAAGAGGTTTATTTTCATTTTTGAACGTACAGAGGATGCTTAAGGTTTCAATGCGCAAACAGTTTGGGTCAAAGTATTCTAGATTCAGAAAATAGTGATAAGGACAGCACGCATTGTAGCTGAAAATAGATTTTTTACGATGGACAATATATTCGGCTTCTTTTGAAGGGCCGTAGACGCCATTATGGTTGGTCCGCATTTAGTCGCGCCATGTTTTACCTTCAGAACTTAAAACACATTTTATTACCCAATAAATAAAAACTATGACCACCTTTTTTGAAAACCGGACCACTGCTAAAGTGATCGTTTTCTGAAGGTGGACGCATCTTGAGGATGGTCGCTTTGAAAGGCTACATAAAAATTATGCTAGAACTTTGTACGACATAAATGAATATCTACTAACATAACTTTCATTTCCTAGAGTATCATTTCTTTGTTTAACGGTTGCGAACGATACGCATGAATATGGAAACAATTTAAAAGGAGAATCTTATTCTCAAGGGAATAACACGTGGTCTGAAATGGGAAAACATTACGCCCAAGCCCAGGAGGTCTATAGAATTATATGAAACGGTTAAAACAAACGAAGACGAAGAAACGAAGCACCACAGGCAGCTTGAAATAATACCTCTAGCTTTTCAGGCCGCAAAAAAATACGATAAAATAGATATATTTTTCAGTTGTTAACGTTACGCTTCCTGACTGGAATGCAAACAAAAGTGACTTGATGTCTGCTATCAAGCATAAGACGGCTAGAAGAAACTGAAAACATATTTATGGAAGACAATTAGCTCTTTTCCAATCACAATAAAACTCATGTTATGGTACATTTTACTAAGACGGTATTGTGGTTAATTCTCATAGTGTATATTATGTATTTAACAAATAAAAGAGCTTTTTCCGTGCTCCGTTCAGTAATAGAGCACGCATAAAGTGCCGTAAGCATGAAAGAAGTGTAAGGAGAAGCACGATCCTTAGGGGAGCTTCCTAAGTGCTTTATTACTGAATGGAGCACGGAAAAAGCTCTTTTATTCGTTTTATTATATAGCTAGTAATTTTTTTCGGCATTGAATTTATTTACGCAAAAAAATACGGTCGCAGGATCGAGCAGCACTTCGCGCGCGCAGATGGCGTCAACACTGTGCTCCGTTCACTAATAAAGCACAGTCTTCGACCAATCAGCGCGTGCGTATTATCCTAACTATATAATAAAAGATAATAAATTTAATATAATACAAAAGATCTTTAGTGGATAGTGATGGGAACTCGTAGATAATAACCGCTAAGAATTTTTTTTGAGCTGCGCCAACTTTACAGGAAGTCTCAGCATAAGGATGCGAGATGAGAGGAAAAATTGAAAACACCACACAAGAAAAAGAATTGCATTGGGAAAAAATTCACTTGATTTGCATTTTACCTCGAGCTAAAATGAGAATGGTGCAAAAATTCTGTTCGTTGCATGGGGGGGGGGGGGGGGGTAAATATTTGTTGTGAAAGAAAAAAAGTAAAGTTGTTTTAAAGAAGTGGAGTGGTATTGAACATAATAAAATAGAACTAAAAGAAAGTATAATGGAAAAGAATGGAAAAGAATGGAAAAGGATAGGATAGGATAGGATAGGATAGGATAGGATAGGATAGGATAGGATAGGATAGAATAGAATCTTTTTTTGAAAGAATCACCTGTGTATTTATACTAAAACAATTAGTTGCCTCAGTCTCAGTGATTATCGGGGAATATTTACCTCGCCGCTCGAAGACTCGCATCTCGGTAAATATTCCCCGATAATCATTTCGCCTTCGCCGAGTAATTGTTAAATTTTTTTTT